AATCATATTTCTGTCTTCTACAGGGTAAGGACCAAATTCCTTAGTCATGGCCTATGAGCTCCTTCATTTTCTGGATCCTGCCATGATTTATTTCCCAGAACCTATTCTATTTCCAATAACAGTTCTCTCAAGAGTCCTGCACATTTACATATGCAGCTCTCTGTGTGAAATGCCACACTGCCTCATCTTCTTCCCACTCTCTACCATACTCATTCTTCCATAATCAAGAAATGTTTTTTCAATTCCCTGATACCACCTCCTCCTTCCTTGATAAGATAGTGCTGCTGGCACAAGTTAAATAATATCTACCTCATAAAGCTGTTCAAAGGATTAAATGAAATAACTTATATAAAACATCAAGGACAATAAGTGCTTCATAAACAGTAGTAGTTTTATGTGTAATCTCGGGGCATTCGTTTATTATATCTTTTTTTACAGATACTATCCAAATGTTGTAATTCTGGATTTATGAGCCACTTTTCTAAATTCCCTGAGAATAAAGATTTTAGCTTGTTTTTATATATTCTATGGTAGCACAATGTCTGGTAACAGTACGTGTTCAATGAAAGTTTACTGCATGAATAAAACAATAAAGCAAGACAGGATAAGATTTTCGCAGATAGGACCTGAAGAGCAGAAGACATGGGACTTTCGGGCAACTTACTGGTGGTTTTTCCCCCTTGAAAAACTGCTGAATTATGCTAAATCATATAAAAATCCATTCTGGAGATCTAAGAGCAGTATCCAGATTGAACTCTTTAGGGCTTTCAACAGAAAAGTAGGAAATATATTTCTTTTTTTCTTTCATCAGTTGCATGCAGAGCTTCACATTCTGCTTTCACATTCTGGTAACAGGCCAGAATTCTACCAGTTACTATTTAGTTACAGTATTACTTTCTTCTAAAAAATGGACCTCACTTAAATAATCAATGTTCCATCTGTAAAACAGTAGTTATGCAGTACTACATGTTTGTGCAAAATGAACATATTGCGGAGTACCAGAGAGGTACACAGAAGGAATACGGTGATGCTGGTTCTGACTCATGCTCCTACTGTTTATTTTTAGCTTCTTATTAGTATGAGATTTGTTTTATTTGGCAAAAATACAAGATTTCAACTGACTGAGAAAGGAAGATGTAAAAAAAAAAATGTCTAAGCATTAAACTTCTACAGCTGAATAATAACCTGTAACTCAGTGCTGTATCAACAGGCTCCCCAGGGGCTGGTGCAAGCTGAAACCACTCCAGAATTATAAATTTCATGAGCTGCAGACTTTACTGCTAAAAGTAAAGTAGTGATTAACGAAAGATTTTATTCCTCTATAGACATCTCCTTTGGTAAATGCTAAATTCACTAGTTGGAGCTAGATTTTTAAATTAGTATATGAAATATGTACAGTGAATTCTTAATTTCTTTTAGAAAATCTCACCAAGAAATAGACAAAAGCAAAGTTTAAAAGACAAGCCAAAAAATTCATATTTCAAATGAAAAAACCTGTAATTTCTCAGTGTTCACTTAAAATCACTCTGGCCTCTTACTCTGATTTTCTTTCTTAACACTTATCACAAACTGATATTTCATCACATATTTATTTGTATGTTTAGTTTAGTGTCTGTCTCTAGACTATAAGCTTTTGAAAAATAAGGGCTTGTTTTTGTCCATTGCCAGATTCTTTGCAGAGAGAGCATCCAGGAACATAATGGCTACTCAGTGAAACTTTGTTGGAATAACCACAATAGAATTGACTGAATCTTAATTAAATAATTCTTTGGGAATAGTCACAGTTGGAAAAGCTTTCCCTTGTGTGTGTGTGGGGAGGTGGGGGGCAGGGGTGGGGTGGTGGTGGTGGGGAGGTATTTTAAAAGGCAGTCACAACTTAGAATGACTATAGTTTTTTGAATAATAAAATCCATTCTTAAAAGGTTCGAAAAAAGAAACCTTTTATGATCTGAAAATATCTCATATTTATGTTTTCTCTTAAATAAAAAAGGTACCAGTAGTTTAAAAAATTGAGAGGGAGAGTTTGGTATTTACTACTACCATTCACATTCTTAAAACAGAAGTGTTTATTTCAAAATAAAATGAAGATTCACATTTTGGTAGATGGAAAATATGCCTCCCAAATTTTATATTTTAGAACCAAGTTCAACTGCATAAAACTGAACTAAAGATAAAAAATTACAAATAAACAATTTATTTTGAATTTTTTTGTTCCCCATAAGGCAAATATTGGCAAAAAAAAAAAAAACTAAGAAAACAGTACCTTTTAAATAACCAGCAACCTAATAGGTAATTATATATACTTAAATATTTTACTAAAAAATAAATTTTATAACTAGAAAGCAGACCCAAAGCCTCAGGACTAAGTTAAATTGCTTCATCAGAATAGACTTTAACT